TGCTGTCAGTGTCACTGTCGGAGGGGCTGGGGGTGCTGGGAGGGTTTCACATGCTTCTCTGCATTCCTTGGAAGCAGAGGATCACCAGAGATTGAAAGGAGACTAAACCCCAAGTTTGTTCAAAAATGCTTTTCCGCCCTTTAACATTTTACAGATTATTGTCAGCTCCTTTGCTGCTCACATGACACCAACTTGTTTCCCACATCACACATCATGTTTGGCCGTGGCTGCTCACTGGAGATTTCAGTGTCCTTGACAGCCTCTGTTACTGTTTTTCGTTTTGGTTTTTATGGTCAGGCTATGTGTGGAGCTGATTTTCAAACTGACACTGTTTTCATGGAACACACTGTAGTTTATCAGATACCAGTCTGAGTGTGCCCCACTGAAAGACTAAATACTGCAGAAAATAGCTCGCAGTGAAATCTGTGTGATGTTTATTTGCAAACCCTATCCCTCGGCAGCTGGAGCTGCACGGGGTGGAGCCAGCACAGGAGACAGACTGTGACACGGACACAGCCTTCCTCACCGAGGTCATGGACATCAGTGAGAAACTAGCAGAGCCCCAGAGCCAGGACGTCTTGGAAGAAATTGAAGCTTTCATTAAAGGTAGGCTATGATTTGGGGGGTTTGTGCAGGACCAATCTGCTGTACCTTGTGTAATACAAGAGTCTGAAAGTTTTTGTTTCGGTGTGTTTCTTGTAGTGTGTCCAACTTGTGTTAGTCTGGAACTGAGTCCCTGCAAGAGCTTCTCCCACCCCTCCCCAGTGTTGTCTTTACCCACTTAGGCACCTAAGCATAACATCTGGTTTGAGAACACGTGTCTAACAAACCTATTCTGATGGCAAAATGTATAGACCATGAAAAGGAACTTAGTCAACCTTCAGCAGGTGAGGGCAGGTCAGCTTTACAAAACAAGAACCTCTCAAAGTGAAGTTGAATGAGATACTTGTCTGACCACATTAACTAATGTCATTTATACACACACTGTACTTCTTTCACCACCCTCAGTTTAGAAACCATTTTATTACGTGGTTGTTGTCCTTAGACAACCAACTTTGGTTTTATATTGCTGGTAATACCAAACCCATTGGGTTTATTGGTATATTTAATTCTTTGTAATAACAGTAATGTGCCAAAAACACTTGGAATAACTAGAATAAAAGAGTAGAACAGGACAAAATTAACTGTAGCAGGGTAAAGTGATAGGCCAAAAATAAATTAGATTGCTGGAAAGTTAGTGACTACTGATGTGCATTGGAATTGCTGTCTGTGAACCTGTTCAAACAAAGTAATACATGTTTGAAATTGTAATGGGAAACCACTGACAGCTCTTTTAGCTCCCAAAGGCTGAGACAAAACCACTGACAGCAGAATTATGGAAAGCTCTTTTAGCTCCCAAAGGCTGAGACTGGTAAGGAAGTTTCCCAGCACAGGCAGTCAAAATGCAGCAGTATAAAAGATACTATGTACCAAAAAGTGACTGAAATAATTTGTTTTGCAGTTAAACAAGAAGAACTGACCAAAGAGGTGGCTGCAGCTTTTGAAAGAGGTCAGACAACGGTTCTTTGTTTGGTGTTTAGAATAAGTACTTCTAAACTAACCTTTCTGCTGATTCAGGGAATTCAGGACCTCACATTAAAAACAAAATCCAAGACAAAAGTTCTATTTAATTCAATTTGCATTGAAATAATCACATTGAGTGGGAATGCAGATACTAAGAAATTGGCTGTGTGTTTCCCAGCATACTGGGAAGGACAGACTCCTAATCAAAGTGAGACCTCTTGGAGGTTTCACCCTTGAATGTGGGAGATGCTGCTGTGCAGCAGAGCAGTGGGTGCTGCTCCTGGCAGTGAGAGCCCAGATGGGAACGATTCCGCACTAACCACGGGAGCTGTGCCCCAGGAGAGTCCTGGGGCCTGTTCAGCACAAGGCTCTGGGGACTTGCTGTGCAGTAATCAACATCTCTTTATTGCACAACCAATGGGTAGGCATGAGCTTGAGCCATTGAGAGAGGAACTTGGTGGCATCTGTCCTTGTCAGTGGGTGATCATAGAATCATCAACCGGGTTGGAAAAGAGCTCCAAGATCATCCAGTCCAACCCTACTGTGGTCACTAGCCCATGGCACTAAGTGCCACATCTAGTCTCAGCTTGAAAACCTCCAGGGATGGGGAATCCACCACCTCCCTGGGCAGCACATTCCAATGTCTGAGCACTCTCTCCCTAAAAAATCTCTTCCTGATATCCAACCTAACCCTCCCCTGGCAGAGCTTGAGTCTGTGCCCTCTTGTCCTGCTGCTGGTTGCCTGGGAGCAGAGACCAACCCCCACCTGACTCCAACCTCCTGTCAGGGAGTTGCAGAGGGTGAGAAGGTCTCCCCTGAGCCTCCTCTTCTCCAGGCTGAACACCCCCAGCTCCCTCAGCCTCTCCTCATGGCACTTGTGCTCCAGTCCCTTCACCAGCCTCGTTGCTCTTCTCTGGACCTGCTCCAGCACCTCAATAAACCACCTTTCCCCTCCAGTTGTTTAACTGAGGAAAAATTAAGTCAGTATCAGTTTTGGAACTGTCACTTTCCAAACCAGACTGCCTCCCACACGCCTGTTGCATTTCTCAGTTGTGTCAGTTGTCTAATTACAAACACTGAACCCAAACAAAAACATTTGTCTTGCCCAGTGGCTACATCAATACTGCAGCCACTGTACAGAAGTCATTAAAAGGTGTTCATTCACAACAGCTCAGCTGAGGTGCTCCAAACCATCCAAGATTAAAATAACTTTTAATAATATGGTTCTCATAGTGTCTGGGGCCTTGCAGCTCTTAGTACTGAAACAGGCACTGTCATTGAAATCCTGAGATTCATCTGGAAAATGCAGATTCAGCTCTCCCTCTGTCAACTAGTAATGTTCTATTTCATTTCAGATGATCTTCAAGAAGCTAAGAAGCTTCTAGCCAAAATGAAATACTTTGCAAACTTAGAGGAGAAGCTAAAGGCCAAGAAGATCCCTTGCTGATGCTGCTTCCTTTGCCACAGAGTTAATGTCATTTTCAATTAAACAGATGGTTTAGTTACCAAAATCACAAATGGTATGGGAGATTTCTTTCTTACTAAAATAAGTAGAATATGTTTGAAGTTGAGAAAGAGTCCTGGACAAAATGCTGGAGATGAGGCAGAAAGCTCACTTGATATGTCCTCAGGGTTCTCAGGTCTTGTGTGTTCTGTCAGAGCACCTGGGAAATTCCTCAAAAGGTGAAAAGTATTGAATTCCTGTCCTCTGTTACTTGATGCCCTTGGTATGCTGATCTCAGTCTGGCTGCAGCTGACCTTTGAAACCAGAAGAAGTTTTACCCTTTTGCATAGTTTAAAACATTAAGGTGCTAAGTTAGGAAAAAAATAAACCCAAATTAACCCCCAGAAACATTTACCAGGATACAAGTCTTTATTACAAACACCAGTGATTCAGAGGTGCTGGGCCACTGTACATGGATGAAGAATGTCTGATTCTTTCCAAGAAATTATGAGTGAAGAATGGTAAGTAGATACCCCCATTTCTGTATGAATTGGAGTGTTTCAGTGTCACTTCTGGTTTGGGTTTTAACACCTCAGAATGGTTCACTCAGTGAAGCATTTGGATACACCCAATGACCAGAACTGAAATGCAGTTAGGGGCTTAGAAATGCAAGAAGAGCCACTGAATTACCTGGAGAACTCTGCCAGGGAGGTTCACTGAGCATCCTCCCTGGCATTTCTGCATCCCAACAGCACCAGTTACATCAAGTCTGCTATGGATACTAGAACATGCTGTTAGTAATATGTTAATAGTATTACAGCAATACATGTTTTAACAGCATTTCAGCAATATTAACTTGCCTAGTTCCTCTAAATACACAGGATCTAATAAGCCACTTGCTCATGTATTGCACTCCTGATTGAGAAGATTCTGCTCATGATTCTCACTGAGCTGTGAAATTAGGCAGAATTTTTTAGGACTTCATCTTGAAGTTGTGTTCTTTCATAAAGCTCAGTCTCCTTTCTTTTGGTATTTCTTCCAAAATTCAGCTTGTGAAATTCCTTTCTGATTTCCAGAAAGGATTTGTTTTTTGTCTCAGGAATGACAAGGAAGATGAAAGCAGCCACAAAGAAGCACTCCAGCAGGAACACCAGGAAGCAATACTGCTTCAGTCCATTCTGGAAACAAAACTTAGGTCATTGCCACATATTTGAAGGGTAACAGTGGGTTTGAGAAAATCAGAAGCTTTTAGTTTCCATTCACACCTAGCATTGCTGGTTACCTGTTTCTAATAGTCATTCAACCAACCCTTACTTTACATGTCTCTTTTTTAAATGTGATTTTCTTTAACTAAAAGACTAGAGTGCTGTGCAATGCACTGGGTAGTTAAAAATAATGTTTAAACACATACTAAATAATTCACAGTCTTAGGATAAATCAGCATTTCCTACTTAGCTGTAACATCATTTAAGATTAGATGATTTCTCTTTTTCTGAATGTTAGTGGTTTTTACTGCTATACATTAAAAAAAAACAGTTGTCTTATTGAGAAACAGAGCTCAGCCACCACTTCCCTGGGCAACCTGTGCCAGTGTCTCACCACCCTCACAGGAAAAAACTTTTTTTTCACCGCCACCCTAGACTTTCCCTCCTTCAGTTTGAACCCATTACCCCTTGTCCTATCACTGCAGTTCCTAGCACAGAGTCCCTCTCAGGCTCCTTGTAGGCCCTTCAGATATTGAAAAGTTGCTCTGAGGTCTCCACACAACCTTCTCTTCTCCAGGCTCAACAGCCCCAACTCCCTCAGCCTGTCCTCAAAGGGGAGATGCTCAAAATACAAGGCTGGAGATGACAGTCTGTGTTGCTTTTCTGATAATCTGGTCACAGAACCCTGTCAGCTCAGACAGCTCTCAGGGGTGTGACCCACTGGCCCCAGGTAGTATGTCAACTTGACTTTGCCAGAAAAGTACAAGGAACTAAGAAATGTGCTACCCAAATCAGTATCTAGTTAAATTTTTGTAGTTTAGATACCTTCTCTGTTTTTTAAATCTGAACATGAATTCACAGAATCGGCCAGGTTGGAAAAGACCTCCAAGATCATCCAGTCCAACCCTACTGTGGTTACTGGACCAAGGCACTAAGTGCCACATCTAGTCTCATGTCTAAAAAATCTGTTAAGAGGGACTGAAGAGGGTTAGACTCTTCTGAGGGGCAGTGTGCATCCTTGTCAGCTGTCAGTAATATCTACAAATGAAATGTAAGCCCTATCAGCAATGGGATGGGACCTGGGAGCAGATGAAATGGGTGGTGAGACCATGAGGAGATTGTGCTGTGCATACTTACCACTATAAAGGTGACTACAAGAAAGGAAAAGAGCATTCCAACTGGGAAGAAACTAATCCAGCTGACAATCCCTGCAATCATGTAGGCAGCAGGACGTGAGGACTGCACAAACAGCTCAGCTGTCAGGGTGTTTGTTATGCCACCTGGGGATGGTTCAGAAACAGAGCATTGTGCTAAATCCCATTTGCAGCACTTCTAATGCCAGAGAAAAAATGAGTTGCTTTTGAATACAGCACTAGCTGATGTATTAAAAGAGAAGGTTCCTCACAGAACTGCTGAGGTTACTGCCCTCTCAATGTCCTGCTGACACAGCCCCTGTCAGCAGCACAGACACACACACTCCTGTGCAATACCTGGTCCCAGCCCAAAGCTCAGGATGAAGGCAAATATACAGGCCATGCTCACATAAGGCACCCAGGAGTACAGGTCCTGGAACAGAAGAGAATGGAAGGTTTGGTTCAGATTTTGATAATCCAGTTTTAAAGTTTGGCTTAACAATGACATTTCCTACTGTATGTTATTGCAACCAAGACCAGCAGTCGCTTATGACTGTTTACAGCTAATGTATTTAACAGTGCTGCTTCAAGGAAATTAAATGGTGTTCATTCAATAATGTTTACTAAATCACATCACAGAATCAGAGGATGGTTTGGGTGGAAAGGAATCTTAAAGCTCAACTCATTCCCCCTCCTGCCATGGGCAGGGAAAGCTTCCATGAGACCTCAGACTGGATTTTTTTAACTCATATGCTCTTGCCAGAATTACTCTTTTTTTTTCCTTCTTCTTCTTATTTAAATTTAAGCAGCACAAACTACCTCTCACATTTTCCTTCCTGGAATCTAACCCTGCTGTCTTTCAGTTTAAACCCATTCCATTCATTCTCTCATCACTACATGCCCTTTTCACTCAGTCATATCATGTAACAGGAATGAGTCCTCTGCACCTGGTAAGTCAGAGAGAAGGTCAGAACAGTGCACCAGAGGGTCATGAGGAGATAACCCCCAATGACAAGGCATCTTCTTCCCACGTAGTCTATCAGTAAGCCCTGTGGAGAAGACATAGTCTTCTGTGAATACATTGATCTCATTTTTACCCATGTTCTTCAAGGAGAATCATTACTCTTGGTGCTGGGAGGTAGAACAAACTGCTTCTTACACAGGAGAGGGCTGTGAAGCACTCACAAGCTCCTGTGCCAAGTGTCACGTATGGGATGTTTTCAGCTGAGATCCCAGCCTGAGCAAAAACGTAGGTGGCATAGAAATAAATCTACAACAGAAAAAAAATAAAAATTAGGCTTTCCTGGCAGTTAAAACATTGTCTGGAAACAAAGTCCAGTTCATACTAAACATACAGAGTGATGTATTTTATGTTGGGAGTTACTAATTTGACATAGAGAGCAATAATTCATGTCTAGGTAAATATACACTGCTACCATGAAAGCAAATGCAACTATACAACTTACTGCAGATGACACAAAGTTGGGGGGGAGTGTGGATCTGCTGGAAGGCAGGAGGGCTCTGCAGAGGGACATGGATAGGCTAGAAACATGGGCTGATTCCCATGGGATGAGATTTAACAAGGCCAAGT